ACTAGCAGTATTTCATTGTTTAAACTCTAGGACTCGTGGATTCTGATGAGGTGTTCACCACAGACCATCATCCCTGTAATACCACAAAAAAAAAATCCCTATAATACCACTTCATGGAAGAGTCCACTAGATGGTGCTATTAAATAACAACTAGATTTGAGGCTAGTCTGTGATTGTCCCTGGAACTTATATTAATCAAATGCATGGGTTAACACTAGTATCTGAATATGCATCGCCATGTGTGAGTTGTATAAAAATAACTTACAGAAGGGCCCTTTAACGTCACTCTGCTGTGTTCAACTGATTGTAAGCATCCAGGCCTTTCACCTCAACAAATGCAAATCTCCAATGCGACAACATCTGGGAAGACATCAATTTAAAAACTTGGATTATGAAGAAGAGATTATCTGACAGCCTCATTTCTCTTTGCACTAAATATTGTTGTTTAACCGTCCGATATTTTCTCCTTCAGCATTAAACGCATAAATAAAGTGAGAGGCAGCTGCTGGGCTTTAGTCTTAAACTCCACTATTTCTCCTGGCTGGCCTCTGTTCCAGGGGACTATATGGCTGTTGACGAGCATACTGCAATAAATCATCATGCTGGGGATTAATAGGAAAGTGTAAAGCGCCTCAGCTCACTGTAGCTGATATGTATTTATTCTAGGTGGTGTAGCAATTCATCTAACCGTGTGTACACCATTTGTGTGTTTGTGTTTATTTGTGTGTGTGAGGGCCCCAGGCTAATTCAACTCGTCTATGCATACATTACCTCCCATGATGCCAGCACTATCGAGTGATTGCCCATGGGGATCGCGTCGATGTTTATCACAGAAAGTGTTTTAGCTGATCAAAGATTACAGCTGAGACGGAGCATGTTGTCTCTGTTTCAGCGGGGGCAAGTAAGTAGTCACCCAGTGCCACACATGCTATTGTTTTGTACAGTGTAACCTATGAAATGCAAATCATCTGTGTTCCACAGGTGCAGCGGTGTTCCACAGAGAATTTATCTTAGGGGGCAGAGAAAATGTTTGAATTTTTTTCACTTACCGAAATTATATAGATTGTGGTGGTGATAAACAAATAAAATTACCTAACTCTTAATACATGTATGGCAACTAATAAAGTTAAATTTTTGGTGAACCAGACCGTTCATCTACAGCAGATTGTATGATCTAGATATTAGGGATGGGAATCGAAAACCGGTTTCTGTTCAGAACCGGTTCTGTGTGTGCCAATTCCATGGCACTGTTTGGCAGCTCGCTTAAGGAATTCTCTTACCGATTCTCTTACTTGAACCACGTTTTTACGCAAGTTACACACACGGCAAATAGTAAGCAAGTATGACGTGACCAGGCGTAAGTCTAGAAAAGCATAACAAAAGCCGTCAAAGCGATTGAAAGTTTTGCTTCATTATAGGGAAGAGAAAGGTTGTGGTGATTGCAAAGTGCCAAGTTCATGTTTCACAGAATCGATAAGAGAATCGATAAGGAATCGAATTGTTTCAAAGAATCGATAAGGGAATCTGAATCATGAAAATCAATTCCCAACCCTACTAGATATCCATGTTTTGTTTTTAAAAGTCAGTAGTACATACAGTGGACTGTGTTAAAACCTCCCAAGTATTTATTGTCAAGACATTCATCTGGCCAATGAACATCGATTTGTTAGCTACAGTATGATGGATTTCTTACTCAGTCAAAACATCAAAACGGATGTCTATGCAGCTCCCCTGGCAGTAAAGGCTGTCTATAAATTCTCATATGTTACCAAAAGTTACTATCTACTAACAATCACATATAATATCCACAACAATAAGGCATTGCCACCCCCTAGCGAGACACTTCCCAATGGA